TCGTAAGAATTATTTATGATTGAATGTCAAGATATAAAATTAAAGGATTAGATAATTTATTAGAAAGAATGTTAGAAGAAATAAAAAATGTTATTTCTCAATTAAAAAATATAAATGTATCTTCTAAAAAATATAATATACTTAATAAAAAATATGAACAATATGTTGCAGAATATTCCAATATATTAGATCATAGAATGGACCTATATGCTAAACTTCTTGATAGAATAAATATAAGATAAAAATAGTTTAAAAGATTGGGATATATATTGTAATATAAGAAGAATTATTTTATTAAGGACAGTATAGTTTTCTATGAATAAATTAAAAAAAAAAAAAACTCGGCCAAGTAAGTAGAAAAATCTCCCAAATCTGGTTTCCTCTGCAACGAAATCAAAGCTATAAAGTTAGTCTTGCAAATACAAAAACACAAGGACTGCCACCACTACTAGGGGTGGGCGTGGGTTGGATTGGGTCGATTTTCGCCCAACCCTAACCCAACCCAACATGATCGATTTGGTCGAAATTTAACCCAGCCCAACCCGTGTAAAGTTTGAAACCCAACCCAATCAAGTATCGGTCGGGTTGGGTTAGGTTGGTCGATTTAGGACAACTTGTTAATAAAGATTAAAGTTATTCATTTTTGGGTGTAAAGCATCACTAATATAGTCCCAGAGCCTAAAAATTTACAAAACTAATTACCACAGCATAGATAAAATTCAACTGAGACACTAAAGAGCAGAAATTACAACCAATTTAGAAGTTGGTTTCTCACAAAATTCTCTAATAGTGGGACGGGATTGGAACTTATAAGGTAAAAAAATTTCATCAATACAACATGCTCCAAATCATTAAATAGTGTCAGCAAAGAAGAAATAGCAGAGATGTAGTCAAAGAAGAGATCACCTGAGAGATGAGTCTGTTCAGATTAGTATATGTTGGCCTCTCAATGTCAAGTGACTTGCGGCAAATATCATAGATCGCCTCATTGTCAAGAAGCACGGCAACATCAGTGTGCTCCAACAAAGAGTGGGTCAAGAGAACAGAGTTGTATGGCTCAACCACAACAGTCGAAACTTGCGAGGATGGGTAAATAGTGAACCCCAACTTTGATTTCTTACCATTCAACAGAAAGCCTCTCAAGCAAAAAAGATTCAAGTCCAGATCCAATGCCCCCACCGACAACATGGAACACCATGAACCCTTACAATCCAGTACAATTATTCGCAAGCTTTCGGAGCTTGAGTGAGAGCGAAAGCGAGAGGGAGGGAGAGGGAATAGAGAGATTTTAGGGCTTCTTTTGGATTTGGGAGTGACCAAATGATTAGCCATTTATGCATTTTTTTTTTTTTCAAGTTCGGGTTGGGTTGGGCGGATTGGGTTGGTTTTTATAGGTTAACCCACAACCCGACCCAACCCACCTACGTAGCCAAAAAATCGAACCCACTTAAAAACAACAAAAAAACCGACCCAACCCGGTTGGGTCGGGTCGGGCGGTTGTACGGGTTGGGTCGGTTTTTGCCCACCCCTAACCACTACCCCCTCCGACTCCAAAAACCACTACTACCACCTCTATCTTCAACAACCAATGCCACCGCTCTTATCTTCAAACTGTCAAACCCTCCCCTATCTCAAACCCTCAAAACCCTAACCATTAAAATCTTTTGGGCAGAGCAATATCTTTCAATGTTCTCTCAGTTGATCAAATTCTCAAAACCACAACTTCTACTTGAGCAAATCCTCTCAATCTCTTCTTACGCTGGCTTGGCCGAAGCAGATGATGGGAGCTCATCGGAGATGGCATTATTGAATTTCGTCTATTTCGTAGCTTCTCCCTCAACTGTCGGAAGTCCCCACCATTTTTCCTTTATTGCCTTAATCGTGATGATATCTGCCGCTGTTTCTGTAAGTCTCCACTGTTTGCCGATGTTCCTTTTGATTTTATCATTTTGCTCTATACGAAGAGTGGTGGGGAAAGGGATTGATGGTTTGAATATGGAAATGGTTGTGTTGGTGGTTTGAGATGAAGGTGGTAGTGTTAGGTGATAAGTCTATTTTATACATTTTTATGTGCTTCTATACTTGATTATTTATTGTTAATTTAGCGAATATCTACTTACTTTTGTTTAAAATATGTTAATTATAGGTAAAAACTCAACCTGAATGCATTTAGATGCAATTGACGTGAAAAATGTGGAAGTGGAGCTTAATTGGAATTAATTTAGAGCAACTGATGATTAATCGGATTGTATATGATCAATTGAAGCATAAATGGAACAATTGCAAGAGAACCATAAGTTTTGGGAGCTAAATTCAATATTTAAAAAGGTTATCGACCTAATTACAAAATTTTGAAACTTGCATCAGATAACTACGGATGATAGGATGAAGATGACCAAAATTATAAAGGTTTAAAAAAAAAAGACTAAAGATGCAATTAGGAAGGGACTCAGGTTGAATCAATAGAAGAAGTTAGGGACCAACTTGAAGTTGGCCAAGATTTGGAGGCTTGCGATCGCAATGCCTCTTGAAACAGTGCACGCAACTTAGCTCCTGCTTGACAACCATTATTTGAAAACTTTTCTTTTTCCATATATTCATTTTTATTCACATTTACACCGAAATATTCTACACGTAACTCCAAAAATTTTCACTATTTTTTAACCACACATTCTCTTAAAATTTACTATTCAAAACATTATTTTTTTCTCAAATAATGGTTGTAGGGGCTTCAATTGTTTACATGTGGGATCGCAGGCCATTTGCCATAGGCATTCCAAGTACAAAGTATTTGGTTTTCTTATTTGATCCAATCTTTTCTTGGAAAGCAATTGGGGCATGAATCTTGACTTAATTCCTAGCCTATAAATACATATATTCGCCTTCACATCAAGGAAAGGAGCGAGGAGGTTCTTTTACATAAAAAATACATATTCCATATATTCAAAGAGAGCCATTGATACAAAATTAATATTCTTTACGAAGCTTTGAAGAAGTTTGATACTAAACACATTAATTCATAATTTTCATACATATTCACTTGGGTTGAAAAAGAAGATCCCAAGGGGATTGATCAAGAATCATTGAAGGGATTTAAGATTCAATATTCAATATTGTTTCCGCTTTTCTTCCTCAACTCTCAATTTCAAATGATATAGTATATATTTAAATCGTATTCTTAAATTATTATGAAGCTTGATTATTTGTATAGTTGTTAGGAACGTTGAACCCTACGTAATGGATTTTATTGTAAGGATAACGTAAAAAACCCTATGTTATGAAGTTTTGATCTTGAATTTAGGATTTAAACAGTTAAAATGTTTGTTGTGTATGAATGATTGATCTGAGTTTAATCATTTTCAATTAATTGACCATTAGTTGATTAGGCCCTTGTTTGATTCTCATTGTTTAAAAAAATTATTTTTTTCAAAATTCATTTTCAACCACATATTATTCAATAAATTAATATTATACGCAAATCCAAAACTTTTCTTTAATTTTTAACGACACATTATCCATCAATCTACTATTTAAAATGCATTATTTTCCTCAAAAATGGGAATCAAACAAGGGCTAGATTTATGTTTTCCATTGACTTTTAGGAGAAGGAATAGGAATTTAACACAAGTGGCAATCGTTGTAAGGTCCTATCATGTTAGGGATAATTGTCTATACTTTGCATGATTCAATTGAATGTTCTTGTGATTAATGCATTCTTATATGTTCGCATTCAAAATAGAGATGTTATCGAGTAATAGGATATGATATATTTGATTCTCCTCGGGAGAGATTATTAAACAAAATATCATATCCAAATAAATATTCTATTAAGATGGAAGAATATAGAGGGATTTGAGGTCCTTATGCTTATCAATTACTTGAGTACCTATAAATGCTTCCTACCACTTAGTTAATTTAGTTAAGTAATTAGATTAGACTTAGGTTCTTAATATAAATCACTGGTTTCATCTCTATTGCTATGATGCTCGGACTCTCCAAAAATGGCGAAGTTATACCGACACGGGATACGTGTCGGACTCTCGATTTTGAACTCGGACACGGCTGGAATTTATGGAGGATTGCTGTTGCAACTTTTGCAGAATTTGCAGAAAACGAGTTGGAGAAGACGACCTTTGAAGAAGATGAAAGGTTGTGGTTGTGTATTAAATGGCCTATGTGGAGCCAATGAAAAAGTTAAAGAAATGGGGAATTTCCATGACCGGTTGGCCCCCCTCAATAATTGTATTCTTCCAATAAAAAAAAGAAAAAAAATGAAGAAAAAATTAAGTGGTTTAAAGTCAACAATTTATGCTACCATAATGAGGGTTATCTCTAAAGGTTTTATTATTTATTGTAAATGGCATGATTTGTTGTTTTATTTAAGATAAAATTAGTTTAATATTAATTCTAAATTTGTTTGATTCAATAGTTTAAGTTACATTTATCCATTTTGAGTGATTTAAATCCGTTAGAAAGCTTATATTTTTTGCTTTAATTGAATCATTTTTTTGGGAAAAAAAATTATAAGACGTATTCCCGTACCGGTATCCAAAATTCGGATCCTTTTTAAACGTGTCCCCATATCTTAATTTTTAAAATGAGAAGAATCCGACTCTTAGATATGTACCCGTACTTGACACCCGCACCCAAGTTCGAGCATCATAGCTCTATTGTATTTATATTCGATTAGAGTTATGTTAATTGAAAAATAGATTAGATATTTATATTCGCCACATCAACCTGAGTCAGTGGACTTTAAATTGTTTATAATAGAGAATAAAAATTACAGAAATTATTTTTTTTGAAAAATTTTTCTAAACGAAATCCTACTGGTGCCTTTTATGAAAAAAGATCAAAAATGATTTTTAAGTTTTCCCCCTTTATCCTGCAGGATATAGTATATACTATAGTAGTAGTATCAATATTGACTCCAATGACTTCCATCTAAACATGACTTTCTTTTTGCCAAATTATAACCTCAGCTTTATTTTTTTGGACAGAAATCTCAGAAAACTGAAGTACATGGATAATTTCCATCAATTTGATCTTCATTTCAAGAGGCACTGCGCGGAGGGAAAACTACCAAACTATGTAGTAATTGAACAGAGATATTTCGAAACTAAATTGTTTGCAGCAAATGATGATCACCCTTCTCATGATGTATCTGAAGGACAAAAATTTGTGAAACAAATCTATGAAACACTAAGATCAAGTCCCCAATGGAATGAAATTCTCTTCGTAATCATATATGATGAACATGGTGGTTTTTATGATCATGTTCCAATCCCAGTTGAGGGAGTTCCTAGTCCTGATGACATTGTCGGTCCTGAACCGTACAAGTTTAAGTTCGATTGCCTTGGTGTTAGGGTTCCCGCAATTTTGATATCTCCTTGGATTGAACCTGGAACAGGTAGGTCAAGAATTGTGTATTATGTGCATGACTCATATGGCATGTTTCGGTGGCTTCGACTGAATCTGATTAGATGAGGTAAAGAAAGAAGTGCACCTAAACGGATTTGTTGTATTCTCTAGTGCGATCAAGTTCAGTATATCAAACACATCAGTATATTATCAACAATAGAGCAATACTTGATATACTGATTGAAATGGGATCAATTATTCGTTTTTCCCCATCTTGTCTAGTCAAGTATACGAAACATGCTCTTATGCTTTTAGGGTTATTGTCGAGCTTGAAAATTGCTTTGTTAATCAATGTTGGTGATGAAAATGCAGTGTTACATAGGCCTTCTGGACCATACCCTACTTCAGAATTTGAGCATTCCTCAATTCCGGCAACTGTTAAGAAGATTTTCAACCTGAAAGAGTTCTTGACAAAGCGAGATGCATGGGCAGGCACATTTGAAACTGTCTTAAACAGAACTACCCCAAGAACAGACTGCCCCGGTACATTTTAGTTTGCATACTTATTATCTTTCATGACTTAATATTCTAAAATGCATATACTTATACCATGTTATCAAAAAATAAATTCGAAAAAATTCAAATCCATGGAATTCTTGTTGAGTAATGATATTCATAATCAGCGACTTCAGTAATCATCTTATGTGACAACTTTTTATTTGAGACATTAGTTTTTTGTAATCTTGTTGTCTCAAATAACAAGCTAATGCTTCAATTAATAACAAGTTGCTATATAAGATGGCTACCGTAGTCGCTGACTATGCATTACTCAATTCATTTTTGTCTTCTCAAGGAAAATGCTTTATCTAGTGTAGATGGGATAATGACAGAATTACAAGATGCCATAGCCCAAGTAGGATCCTTTCTTTTAGCGGTTAGGCTTGCCTAGCCCGGTTTGTGGGTTTTCAATTGTTTTTTAGACTCCAGTGGATGACCTCATGGAGCCCTTAGCGAAGATACAAGAATGAAAATAATTTCGTGGTTGATCTCCCTTCGTCTCTGATATTTTCAACACTAAATGTTTGCAGTAACTCTGGCGGAACCAGTGAAAATGAGGGACACTGAACCAAATGAAGAAGCACAGCTAACAGATTTCCAAGAAGAACTGGTGCAAATGTGTGCAGTGTTGAACGGTGACCATGCAAAGGACATTTATCCCCACAAAATAGTCCAAGACATGAAAGTTGTTGAGGCTGTTAATTATATTGAAAACGCATTTCAGAAGTTTAAGGATGATTGTGATCATGCCAGGAAAAATGGAGCTGATGAATCCCACATTGTTATCCTTGAAAATCCACCGACAAAAATACGCACTTCCAAGACCATAGCGAAAGAGATATTTTCGTGTTTAACGTGCAGCCGCGATTAAAACAACCAATTTTATCGGAATATTCCGATGTTGTTGGTTACCTTTCAATATTTGTCTCTACTTGATTTTATATTACACCAGTTCATCAACCTATGATTTTCTTACATTGTTTGCGTGCTTAAAATTTAGGTTTGGAAGGGACAAAGCATATTTTATTTATGTTTGGATTTATTTGTATATTTCAATTAATTCATTTTACTTCTCTTGCTTGTAGGCTAATACGTTCCCTTGCCACATGTAAATAAGCAGTGGACTTCTTTTGGCAAACGATGATAAGAGGGGAGAATCACCCCTCTTTTTTTTTTTTTTTTTTTTTTTTTTTTTCNNNNGCCCCCCCCCCCCCCCCCCCCCCCCCCCCTTTTTTTTTTTTTTTTTTTTTTTTATCTATTTCTCAGGTTTTACTAGTCGGGGAAAAAACAAGAAAAGAAAAGAAAAAAACTCTACAAATCAAATAATAGTTATGAACTAACAAGTTATCCTTGGCCTTAACCAAAATTCTCACTAGTGACAGACTAAGTGTGACAATTCTCTTGATTTTGTTTGAAAACATGAAATTCAGTTTTTCGTGTTTGCACCTGTGGTGTTTTATATTGTTTTGTGTTAAGGTGTGGTGAGGAGTAATAATAAGTGTAAATATTACACTTAATTTGGGCCATCAAAAGTATTGTTTGGGTTGTATCAGCTAATACTTAATTTTGTGTGTTTATTGATTGTTTTAATAGAATTCGATATCTGATGAGAACAGATGAAATAAACAAAAATCAAAGATGAACAAAATTTGGAATGAGGAAATTGCACCCTATGTCATTTTTTAGTTTTGCATTTTTCATATATGTCTGTAATTAATATTGCTGTGAATAGATGAAAAAGTTATACAAAATAATATACAAGAGTAATGTTATTTGCAGTCGCTCACTGCGGTAGTCGCCATACGTGACATACACATGGTAGGTGATTATTTGATTTATTAATGTGGTAGTTTTTTTATTCATTAATGCATCAAATAATCACTTGCCATGTGTATGATACGTAGGGCGACTGTCGCAGTGTGCGACTGCAAATAGCATTATTCAATATACAAACATCCCATCAAACCCACGTAAACAACACCCCATTCTCCCCACTTTCTAAACCTAATCGAAAAACAACATTCAAACTAATTTTAAAAAAATTGAAAGAAACCTCGTGTCCTCCAAGAGAATTTGTGAGAAAAATTCTACTTTCAATATTTTTTGGAGATCTTTCTCTTCCCAGCAATAAAGATTTTATTTTCTATGTTTGGGTTCTCTTTATGATTCCACCATTTACGATTTTTCTTTTGGCCGATTTTATTTTTTTTTATTTTTTTTGGGTTCTTCTTGTATTTTCTTGGAATGTTTGATTATCAGAAAAATGCGGGATATAAGAAATGAATAAATAAATTCAATATTTTAGAATTCCTTTTCAAATTTCAGGATATTCAGAGATATTTGGATAGACTTAAAAAAAACAAAAAACAAAAAAATTATTCTCTCTTTTCTCCTTTTCTTTAGGTGTCTGGGAAAATTTAGAAATTTTGTGAAATGAAGTTGCCAACTATTTTTTCAATCCGTCGATCCATTTTTCACACCCTATGTGAAACTTAATTTTGTTCATTTTTCAATTTCTTGAGTATGAAGTGGGTTTAATGTTAATGTAAAATTACTATCTTAATGGGCAAGAAGTGAGTTTATTTTTCCAAATGGTTTATTTTTTACCGTCATTTTATATTAATGTAAAATACTTTTATTTTGTTGCAGGTCCGAGTTAGAGTCCCTATTAGTGGAGATTCATCCTTTTAGAGATCCGACTTAACGTTCGTAATTAGTCTTTCATTATTCTTAAATTTATATCAGTTTGCGTGCCAAAATTTGTAGCTTCTTAGTGGCTTAAAAATATAAACATGTGATGTTGAATATGTAAATTGAACATTGCTCAAATTCGCATAAACTTCAATTGTTGGTTTCATGAGATTGTCAATAATGTCTTTACATTTATATTTACCATGAAAATTCAATATAAATGTGAAATGTAATGTCAATTCCAACGGTTACAAAGCCGTCTATCGAGATAAACTATCGTTCTCGACAGTTGGTCCTTGGAATTCTTGATAATTGACCCACTTATCTCGACAATTGGTTTCGTAAGTCAAATTTTGCTTAGCTTATCTTCTATGTGTGATTTTATGGTTGAAATAAATGACATATTATCATTTGAGCACCATTACTACTGTTGAATATTTGTTCAAAATCAATGGAATTATAATGGACTAATTGTTAGGCTCAATTGTGGAATTGGTAGAATAAAAAGAAATTGAAAAATGTAAAATTTGATTTTTTGCCTATGCGTACGCCCAGGCTTATTTTTGTACGTACACAAGATGTGTTTTGTCAAAATCAGAATTAAATGTTGTTTCTACTATGCGTACGCAAAGTTTATACTATGCGTACGCATAGTGTTAAAAATAGTCGTTGGCTGGTTTTTCAATTTTGAAACTTGGGAGCCGCTTTGGATTAAAAGTTGCCACTTTTCATCTTGTTTTGACACCCTTTCGTGATGTATTGATTGAGGCTTATAAATAGGTGATGAATGATCACTACAAACATTATTAGAAACATTTAAAAACATCTTGAAATCCATATATCACTCCACATTGAATCAAACTATTGATTTACATTCATATTTAATATCTTCGTGTTCTTAAAGTTTTGGAAGATTGCACTTGTGTTTTGGTGTTAAAATCCTTTACAATACTTGATATAATCCTACAAACCGTTTGCCAGAACCCTTATGCATCTCATTCAATCCCGAGAGGGGGCAAATATAGTTTGAGAACAGCGATTACGCATTCGAGCCTTCATATTCGTTATGTTTTTCATCTTCTTGATCACATTTCTGGTTATTTGTTTCTTCTCCATTTTCCCCAGTTGATGTAAATTCTCCAAACAAAATTTTAACACTATGAAATCCAGTTCCTGGTTAGATATTTGATGGGCGAACTTCATGTGAAGGCTAGTACAAATTGAAGTTTCTGATGACGACGGAATTGAAGATCTCCTACATTCTAATTCTGAATTTGGCGATACTACTGAAATAAACATTTCTTTGGTGAAAGAAATTTGAAAAGTTTGAAAAGAAATGATTTCATTGAAGAATAAAAGGATAGAATTCATCATCATGAATTCAATTCTGGTAATATTCATTTATCTTCTAAAATTCCACTTTGGTAAGCAATATAATGATCTTCTCACATGCAATTTAGATGTTTTGTTAAAATATATGCACATTATCAATGATGATATTCCCCATGAATTTAATTTCGATTGTGCATAATTTGTTTCATGTGTTTGTGAAAGTGGAAATATGGAAATCATGATGTTGCATGAAAATTAACATTGCATATTCATTTGTAATGTATGTTTTATATACATTTGATGAATTTGAATATGAATTTTCATGATCATCTAGAACTTCCTATTAGATGAAGGATATGAATATTGTATCCACAATTATGAATTGCATAGTTATATAAATTCTTCGTCTGATATATTTGATGGTTTAAAGCATTTTATGATCCTTAGAATATGCTTTATTTATGGATTTTGATCTTAAATGCAATTTATGGTGATAATAGAGACTAATGAAAGATTATTATGTGTTGGTATCGATGTAAGATTTTTGAAAGAATTATGTGATTTTGTTGAGGTTGAAATCTTTATTCATTAAGCCTCTCATTTGTGAAAATTTTGAAGAATATTATGAGATATTCTAGGGTCAATTTATTAAATATTACGGCATGAGAATTTATTATGTGATCTATGATCTACTTCGTTGATTTACTAAATGTTGAGTATAAAAGACCTGCTGAATATTGTTAAGCAATGTCAGATTCCCTTTATAGTTTGAAGTTGTGATCGAAATCGGTTAATCAAAATCATGATAACGAACATGTCTTTTGATGAAGTATGCATAAATTACATGAATCTACTACCACGTAATTATGTTTTGAAATAAACAATTGGTTTTCTTAAATTTTTAATCCACAATCATTTGATGGAACGTTTTGTCATGGTAGTTATGGGAACATGCTAAAAATATATAAGAATATTTGAATCGTGAATTTATTTGATATTCACTAATTGGTGTATGAAAGTGTTTACTCTATTTTGAATATGCATGAAGGAAATTTATGTTCTTTTACTTGAGATGTATAATTTTGGCACCCATATAGTTAAATGGTTGAAACCTTGATGTGCACACTATACTATTACAATAAAATTTGCATATGTTACATATGGAAAAATTCTAATGTGTAAGAATTTATAGAAAGAAAGTATGTGAATATGAAAGAAATTATGTGAACTCTCATAATCATTTCCTCTACAGAAAATGGAAAATTGCATGTGGTTACTTTCGTGTCTCTTTCCTTGTATTCGATTATATGAATTTGCGAAAAAAATATGAACTTATCAAAAGAAATATAGATTGATGCATGTTATAAGTGCAAATGGGAATGGTATGGTTCATATGCATGTAATCATAATATTATGAGAATGCCAACTAATTGTTTGATTTCATGTCTTGTTGAACTCATATTAATTTGGGTTAATGTTGATAACCTCATTTAATCCTATGGAATTAAGTGAGATGACTTTATGTCAATTATGTTATATTTACATAAAGTATGACAGCTTGTGACTTGTTCTAGTGGAAATTGCTTCCGAAATTATTAAGACATGGAAATTCTTTGTGGAGCACAAACTGTGCCTAAAGTTAGCGATAGTGCTGAATATCATTTTCATTCAAATCTTAAAAAGTTTGAATGTGGTAAATTATTTGGTTAAAATTTTCATATCTAGTTGGAAATTATACTAACTTTTGGTAATAGCCTGAATTAATTATATGAAATTAAATGAGATGAACTTACGCTAAATTATGTTTGCATATGAGCATGACAAAATGTAATCATGTCCGAAATTAAATAAGATGAACGTATGCCTTATTATTTGATATGATGATATCTTGTGAAAAGTGATAAGTTGTACATGTTTGAAAGAAGTAGTACTTGGTCTTCTTCATTGAAGAATTGAACTTCAATCAAAGAACCAAATGGAGTTGGTTTATGCTTGAGAAGCATTAATGGTATATGAGATAACTTTGATCAAATTGTGTGATCCAAGTGAT